TAATAATAACAACATTAAATGTGAATGAATATAAACTTTGTGAATTTTGCACCATTTCGCCAACCATACAGAGGAGCGAATTTTTTTTAGAGGAGCGATTTTTTTGGAAACACAATTCGATCTGAGTCGATCTGAGTCGATCTGCCCCGATCTGTCCCTTATTGACAATTAATTCTTAAGATTTATACCTGTTTGCTTATTCTCGGAAAGTGGGAATTATATTGGATAGTTTTTAATCGGGTCATTGTGATCTCTTGATTTCTTGATCTCTTGTGAGGTTTGCATTTAGTTTTTGAGACTTCAGTACAGTTACGACCATTTTTCAAAAACAGATCGTCACGCACGTTGAGAATTCCATCGTAGGAACATTCACGCAGCTCACTGTCAAAGCCAACTTAAAACTTTAATCTGTTGTTATATGCTTTATTTCATGGATAAAAATGATACTGATGCCAGAAGAATAGATCGAAAACCATGCAATCAGCGCGAATCAAGGCGACCCAAGCAGCTCAAGCTGTGTGCGATGATAATGCTGCGTAGAGGTCATCTTGAGTAATAGCGAACAAGTAAAAATTAGAAGACTTTATGTTATGGGCTTGGAAAAAAAAAATTCAGAGACATTTTACAGTTATTCTAGTTGCTTTGAGCAAAATCTGAGCGATGGGCCACAATTTGGGCCGGGTGGACGGGCCGCGATTTTGCATCGTCTGCGGCAAAATGAGACTGCTTGCAACCCGGAGGGGGGGTTACTCCCTTATATGGGCTATACAGGTATGTGCGGCCCCAAAGGGTAGGGTTTTTCCGCCGTTTTAGTCATAAATAGGGTATCGATTTTGGCCATTTTGGTCTTAAATAGGGTATGGGTTTAGCAGTCTAGTCTTGAAATGGGTGTTTCTTGGAAGAAGCTACTCTTTTATGATGATCAATAAGACCGTCAACAAAAGCCCTTCATAACTTATGTTTAGGGCAACTGTGCCAGCTGCAATGGTCATGAATAGGGTACCGAATTTTTGCCCAGGTCATAAATAAGGTAGCAAAAATCGCAGATTTTGGCCATAAATAGGGTAAGGGTTTTGGGAAGTGGGCCACACACCCCCACACAACTTTTCCGGGAGTAGCCCCCGGGCTTGTAACTGACCTGTTTGGGCGACTCTTTTTTCACTACAGTCGGTTATCAACATCAAGGGACATCGGAAATGTACCGTAGATTACTGCAGAGTATTCGCTGGACATCTGGTGGTACAAGAGGGTGTCAGTCATGTTTCTAAGATGACCTTGACTGATTTCTAAAATGGTCTAGAATGACCTAAATTGACGTTGAAATGACTGATTTCTAAAATGATCTAAAATGAGATACATTTACCTTGAACTGATAACCTTGGCTGATTTCTGAAATGATCTACACCGACCTAAAATGGCCTAAAATGACCTTCATAACAATCTTGGCTGATTTCTGAAATGACCCAAAATAAAGTTTACACTTTATTTTATTGGAACAATTAAAAATAGTAACTGCCAACAATCTTCGCGTTTGCGTTATAAGTTGTTCTGGTGACGGATAGCCTTTTGGAAGAGCTCAATAGCATGTTGATAATTTCTTTACGTGTTATGTTCCAAAATTGACATGTTGTTTATGTTTTAAAATGAATTAATAAGAAGGCATGGTACAATAATTTTTGTCTTTCCTGATTTTACTGACCCAGTTTTATTTTGTTAAACCAATTTCGTTTATGCTCGACGTAACTGACTTGTAACCCATGCCCTAAACGTCTACCTACCACAGTTGTGATTCCAAACTGGCGAGTACTCCTTACAGTCAGCTATCAGTAAAAGCTGCTTTGCCTTAAAGGGGTGCCTTAAGCCGGACGTATAGAAACAAAATAAAGAATTCATGACTTCTGGTATAGAAAAGTGCTCTGACATAACAAAGTTATAGCAAAAACTGCCAAATTTAAACTAGCGTACTACATGCAATGCCCTTAGACCCGCATCACTGTGCACAACAAGTTGCAGCGTGTCCACCCTTGCAAGTTTCGCGCAATGTTTAAGAGACCATATATACTTCAAGTACTCAAATTTTAAAACAGTGCATTGCATTAACACTGAAATTCCGTAACTCTTTTTTTGCACCAAAGTGGTCATTCACTTTCCAGTAACTACTTTTCCTCTTAGAGGTTTTTGTTATAAATGGGGACAAGAGTACCAGCAGAAAATTTCATTTGAAAGAGTACATACCTGGAATTACAGGTGTACGGGAAACCATGCCATGAGCAAGAGTAGCACATGAATAAACTGAGGATAACCCTGTCTTCCCAAATCATAAAAGCTACATCAATCAATGCCTCGCTGCTGGCGAACAACTAGGCACTTCACACCAATCAAAACCGCGTGGTAATCATCGAGAATTTCCTCGGGAATTCCCGGCCGTTTGCGCGGCACCCACCACGTTTTAGCAAGCGCTAGTTTTTTCACTCGTTAGAGACCACTGAAAGTCACTTAAATCTTGGTTTCACTTAGCAGGCCACATGTACTGGTAGCAAACGTAACCACCATGTTTGATCTTTTAGCCAGGTTTAAAGGTCATTCATTTCAGAAATCAGTCATGGCTATTTTCGATCATTTAAGGCCATTTCATAAATAGTCATGGCTATTTTAGATCATTTCAGGTCATTTTCGAAATCAGTCATGGTTATTTTCGATCATTTAAGGTCATTTCAGAAATCAGTCATGGCTATTTTAGATCACTTAAAGTCATTTTAGAAATCAGTGCAAGGTTGTTTTCGATCATGTTAGATCATTTCAGAAATCAGGGAAGGTTATTTAAGGTCATTTCAGAAAACAGTCGTTATTTTAGGTCATTTTAGAAATCATTCAAGATTATTTTCGATCATTAAGCTCATTATAGGTCATTCTTGTTTTAGTAACTAGTTTTCTTTCCGGATCTTTCACAGGTGACCGAAGCTCGCAAACATACAGTAGGGGTGTTTTCCATTATGCCAAAAATTCTGGAAATTTCGGTCGGAAGTCTAATGGAAAGGCCCGTTTCGGTTCGATCTGACCGGAATATTCGGGACCTCCCCTTTGACCGGGGGGAGGCGCGGTGGCCTCATGGTTAGTGCGCTCGTCTCCGGATCGAGCGGTCTTGGTTCGAGCCCTGGCCGGGGACATTGTGTTGTGTTCTTGGGCAAGACACNATCCCATCCAGGGGGGAGTAGAAATACTCCTAGTCGCTTCATACTACAGAAACCGGGATAAGCTCCAGCCTGATGGGCCACTTGGCTCGCATGCAGACTTTACCTTTACCTTTACCCCTTTGACCGGTCCGACCGAAATTTGCCGTTCAATTTTGATCGACAAACCGGTTCATTGCCTTACTTCTCTTCAGTAGATTTCACTTATGCAGGGTAAGGAATAAAAAATGGCAAGAGCTAATTCCCTTGGTTAACCCAGTTTGATCGGAAATTGTCGTTCCATTTTCCTCGGGTAGCTGGCTGTGGACTATGACCGGTCGGTTTGGCATACTGGAAAGCACCCTAGTACTCAGGTTACACCACAGTCGAAGTACAACGAATGATACTACTATATATCTTGGACACTCTATTACTCTTTACATGGAATGCTTCGTTTTTACCGGAAGACTGCTATTCGCCCTACATAAGCTACATCTTATGGTCTTTACATTTAGAAGAAACTGAAAACAAATCAATGCATGATAAACGAAATATTTCCTTTCTCTTCAAAACGTTTAACATTTGTCCGAGTAAAAGACAAAACTTGTCCTCACGTTTGGCTCCCCGAAGACGACATATTTGAGCGTATGATTTTGGCTTTCCAAGACTAAAGAAAAATGCTTGTATTCGTGTGGGAAAGTTGTCCCTTGGTTTCCTCTTATTTAAAGAAATATTCCGAATATTTTAAATATTCCAACCTAGCATTTAATGTCGCCACGTTTTCGCTGTCTTGAGTTAAACTTCGTGGAACAGCGAAACCTACAATGTACGTTAAATTAATTTCGCACCCTGTCAAACTCAAATTTCGCCGCCTCAAACTCGCATGAACTTAAATTTGTCCTTCATTAGGGGACTTGAGATTTGAGTGACTTTTCAATTCTAGTCTATAGGCTTCACATTATCACATCACATACCCATCTCATCCCATAAGCTACCCTCTCTACTTAAACCAACACCAAGAGCGAGAATCGTTCTCGTATTCAAATTCGTACTCGTAGTCCAATCTAAACTAATAATCCTAATTACTGCCACCTCTCTACAACGGCCACTTTATTCTGTGCCATATTTTGCTGATGTGGAGAAGGATTCGACCATATATGTCTGTGAATTTGACAAAAGATTTCGCTATACTTTCAGTTTAAATATCAACAATAATAATCCTCTTTAAATCCTCAATTATTGTATTCTAGCTTAGTTCTTGTACTCTTTGTAGAAGCTCAGGTTTCAGGAACACATTCTCGTCCACTTCTCCTTGAGCAGCTAAAATATCCTTCAGAACATTCGGGTCCCACTTGAAAGTCACCACAGCAGCAGGGACCTACACAAAGATCAACAGCAAGATTCTCGTTCCTGTTTTCATACAGCTTCGATACACCACTTTGGGAGAATATGGTATTTGGGTTTTAGTCTAGTCTGGCCAGACACTTTTTTGGCTTCGATTTATTTTTCCTCGACCACGCGAGAGCGGACGCGAAAAATAATGTCTCTTCCTCGAGTCCCGTTAGGGCTTTCTCAAATCCTCTGCGGTTGGTACTTTTGCTTGCGATCTCGACGAACTCAAGACAAAATAGAAAGTCTGTGGACAGAGTATTTTTAGTCTCTCGATCATGTTCATTACGGGTAGTCTCTTTAATCATTCAGCTCGTCACGCAGTGTTTTCTGAAGCCTCTAACGGTTTGTCGCGCCGATTTAAAATCTGAAGTTAAGTTAAAAGAACTCATTAACTTTAAACAGCAACAGATATTGCGTAAACTACATCAGAGACACTTGCCAGAACTTCGTGGCAGGAATGTTTCGCCGTCAGAAACTGAATCTCGCTCAGACGTTTCTCGACCTTTATTGTGGGAGCGGGGAGAGGGGGGGAGATAAATTGAGCGAGCGAAAGAAACTTTATATTATTTATCCAGATGTAATTTTTGCTAGCAAATTAAAAAAAATCGATTCTCACAGATAAATAAAAACTGAAACGAACGCACAGAAATAAGAACGGGGCGTACGGAGGTAATATAATGTGAGAGCTATGATACAATTTGTAGAACTTGCAACATGGTACAAGATTAAACTCTTTAGTGGTTGGAAAGTTTAGAGAGAAGAAACCACACTCCGGTTAATTTTAGTCGGCAAAAATTTGTCACACTTAAATACAATAGAAAATACTTTTTTTTTAAC